TCTGCTCCCATATAGGAACACACTCCTTGTTGCTGACCTACTTCTTTCAGATTTAGACGTCTGGACTCTACCCACTGTTTGGATAACCATCTTTAGTGCGAAGCTAATAGGCGCTCAGCTAACCAAGAAGCTCCCTCCTCTTTTATGGTATCAGATCATATGTTAACGTGTTCACAAGAAACCCGCACATGACCCTATCCTTAGCCAGCTTAATCCACACTCTCACGCCCATTTTAATATAATTTATTAAAATACACATAGGTCTCTCCTCTTAGGTTCTTCGACGAAAATTTGTATACATTTTTAATCTTCCCATGCGTTCTGTTTGCCCATTTCAACATTATTGATGTGTTCACCACAATCATGGCTCGAAAATGACGATCACCTGTCACCAGTGACAACCGGATAATTTCAACTGGCGGTAAATTTCATATTCTGCTTTCGATACTTGGCTTAAGGGAATGCGGATCCAGTTTTATTAAATGAGGTCGTGTCGCTATCATTTGCAACTGCACAGAGTAGAGGCGTCTGAGTATTTTTTTCGGCTCGTCAAACCAGCCCAAAGTTTCAGATCTCTTGAGTGCCCTAATCTCTTATAATGTTGATGTATTTTTCTGAGATTAAATTATTTGTCTGATTGCCAGATTTAAAACAAGTTTGAAGCTATGACCCTAATGAAGAGGTCAAATTATGAAGCTACTTGCAATTTCCTTCGCATTCCTCATACTTAATCAGTGTCTGATGTCAAAATTACGCAAAAATTGCCGATTATTTAATTACGGAAATACAAAACGTGAATGCAGTGAGGATTTCTATCACTCTAATTGTGCCGTATCTTAGGATTGGTTCCGTCTTTGGATATTTACTTTTGAGTCATACTGTATATTTCTTCGGGGTTTCAGAAGGTAGTTTTTGTAACTGACTGTAGATTACAACAACTCACCTTCAACTGACCCCGTACATGCGCAACCATTTCCTCGCATGCAGACACACAGCACGAAAGCTAATTACAGCGCGCCCTTCGTGCTTTATGATACTTTGCGTTTCATCTGTCTGTAGGCAGAAAGTGTTTGAGAACAAGGTGCTGAAGAGAAGAGTTCGGACTAAGAGAGAGGAAGCAACAGGATGACGGACAAAAGTACATAATAAACAACCTCATAATTTATAATATTCACCGTACATTATTAGTGTAACCAAATCAAGAATAGAGACGTGGAACAGGTCATGGGGCAGATGAGATATCTGTACAAACATTTAGTCTGAGAACTAAAAAGGAAGAGACTATATGGAAGATCTAATCATAGATGGACGGGCACAGTGAATCTTACAAAAATATGATGTGTACTGGATTCAGAGCTAATGGCTGGCTGCTGTGCACAAATGATCTCTTCGCTTGGGATTTTCGAACTGAAATGTTGTATGCTCCTCTCATCTCCCGCAACCTTGCTAATATCACGCTGATGTCTGTTTCCTTGATTTGATTTCCCTGTTAATTAAAAAGCCCTTCATGTGGGAGAAGGAAAATGCGTAAACATTTTAGTCTGAAAACCTAAAGGGAAATACAGAACTAGAATGCATCTCACTGACGAGCACTTTGAAGTGTGCATTCGATTCACAACAGAAATTAAACGTGTTGTAAAGGATTGTTTAATCGAATTCTTTCCAGCTAATGAGTGATTTAGTTACAGAAAACTATTGAGTAATATGTAAACCTGTTTGCAACAGCAGGCTTAATTTAGTATCGTGTTTATTAAACTGCTATGGCGTTTCGTTAAAATGCCCTCATTTATAACCTTGCAGCCAAAGGTTGAATGTTGCCGCAGGTATGGTTGAGAAAACCTAATAAGTTTTTAATGTTCACACAACATATCGGCACCAGGACAAGACTATCAGAATAACTACGGTTTTTCCTGGAGTTAAGGCTGATCGGAATGTGACATTGACTTTCCTTATAACACTGACTGGCTTTAGTTATTTAACGTCGTTGTTTCAATTACAGAGAATGTAATAATTTCAAATCAGAAGATCATGAATGATGAATGATGAATATGTCTGAGATGAAAGGAGGACGTTGTTCATCGAGAGTCGATCGGATAACTTTCGAGTCGAAGTCCACAGCATCATCGTTATACCAGACTTTTCGAGCTTATTACGTGGCAGAGGTGTTTTAGTACGCACTGTACTTCTGTGTTCCCAGATCATCTTCACGACGGTTGTCAGATAGGACAACAGATGTGTTTATTATAGTCGAAAGTAATCTTTAGCCAATCACAAACTTCGTTGAAGTTTTTACACGGAGCACTTACAGTACTTTGTACTTTTTAATAGCAGAACGAAGTTTTTACACGGAGCACTTGCAGTACTTTGTACTTTTTAATAGCAGAAACATGTTAAGGTTATTAATGCACATGTTATGTAAAACTCGTGTTTTCGATGTTACTGCTACAGAATCTGACAGAAGTCTTTACTCGTCTGCTACTTGTACTCGTAGATTCGAAAGTTAAATGACGATGATTTTGTGATGGTATAAAAATCTCTAAATTATGTCCGCGCGAAACATTTTACGAACCATGTGTTCACGATCTCTCCGTATTACCAAGTATTTAAACGTACTCAGCGGTTTAATTTTTTCAATGTAAATATAACTTGCAGCCTCGTAATTTTACATCGTCTGTAGGCCTTATATGCAGCCTACGTGGTGATAAATAGGTCTGTGTGTATTTATGTGTTTTGAGGGAAATAACTTAATGAAAACAACCAATTACCCGTTTTAATCTAAAGTTTTTCAAGGTTTACCAAAAAATAATCACATTTTTTACAGTAGGAATGAATAATTTGGTTGTTATGAATAATATCCGGTGTTTCTACAAAATCCCTAGCCTGGAATTAAATACAATCACTGATTATTATTCATAATTGCCAGTTAATAATCGTTACCGTAGGTGCAACAGCTAGAACCGCATTTGGATTCGCAAGTTGGAGGCATTGGCTCTTAAGGTTTTTATTGACGTAAATGCGCCTATATTTTAGGGTCAGTGTCATTCCGCAAAAAAGTGTGACGTATAAGTGTAACGAAAACAGAAAGGAAAATGTGTAAGATGGTTACCTAGGAAACGTCATCTGTTTATCAATAAACAACAAACAATGGTTACCTAGGAAA